CCTTGCACCAAATGGCATCTCAGAGCACCCCAAAGTAGAGAGCAGGCTGAGATGGAAGAAATCCCTGTCCTGTTTTGCAAAAAAGAAGAAATATAGAAAGATCCTGCATGCCTTCTCCCAAGTAACTTGTTCCTTGATTGCAAAGAGAAGAGAAGAAACATCAGAACACTCAACAGCTTTGCATCTCCAAGGTATGTTAAAAGGATTCTCAAGACCATAAGGAAGGCTAAGACAAATCTGGCAAATCCTCCCTCACATCCTTTCCTAAACATTTACAAGCTGGCTGTGTTTAGCCTGCAGCCCAACAGACCCAAACTTCCCCATCTAAGAAACGAGGCTCAAGAAAAAAAGCTGCATGAGGACCAACACTGAACCCCCAACAACCCAGAGACTGGCACTACATACCCTCTCAGGAGAATGCTGCAAGGCACCACACGAGCTGTTTAAGGGCTACAAAAATTCCAATAACTTTTTACAGTAAGCAGCACAAGAGTATATGGGGTGGGGGGCTATGCATCAGTCATTCTCTGAGGGCCACTCCAGGTCCCATCGCTCATGTCTCTCTTCCTGACCATCCTTTCCTTTCAGATAGATGAGGTCTCTCCCTTTCTCCGTCAATTTTACCTCATTCTCTAGCCACACCTCCTCTCTGCCTCTTGCAAGCAAGGCAACCTCCAGGTTCAAAAATGAAGTCTTCTGCATGCTAGATCTACAGGGAGCCTCAGCAGCAAAGAGGATTTGTGAGCTATAAATAGATTTGCCCTGCCCCTCACTGCAGCCCCTTCAGGCCATGTTGCCACGGGGCAGGGCAGAAGATCCGCATGATCTCACAGACCCAGACTGGGAGAAGAGGCCAGGATGGTCCATAAAAATGCTCTCAGTGGGAGACTTTTTTATTCTGCAAGGTTGGCCATTACAACAGATGTCTCCATTCCCTCAGGGTCTGCTTCTGCTCCTCTTCTGACTTAATAACCAATCTGCACTGTGTTTCCCAGGGGAAACACAGGTTATCCACTGACAGCTCCTTCCTCTCCTCCCCACTCCATCTGAGTCCCATAACAGGACCTATGTATTCAGCTACCTCTTTCCAAGCCTAAACTGCATTTCAGTGGTCATGGGGCCCTTTTGCCAGAGCAGAAGACCCAGCTTTGTCCCTCAGAGCTAGACAGCTCCCTTCTGACCTGGCCAAGATAGGAGAGAAACCTGAAGAGGTGATGGCAGAGGGGAAGCCTCATATCAAGCACGGGAAACTTCTCTTTAGTGACATAAAGAGTTACGTCCCCCACTGACACAGAGCACTCTCCACACCGGACGGCATGGAAAGGTGCTTTATAGCAAGCACATGATCCAGGATCCGAAGAGTCCACTGCAAGGCTCCCTACAGGAACGGCTCAGCTCAGCCCACAGAGCAACCTTTTCACGTACCCAGGCCTTATTCTTTCACGGGAAGTTCTGCCACAGCCCCACAACGCGGCCATCCTCTCGCCATTGGGTCCTGTGGGCAACGATAGCCAGCGAGGCCCCTGGGCTTGGGCAGCAAGGAATCCAAGGAGGAGATAAGGCTTTCTGATATGATTTCCCTGCCATGCTAGCCCCAGCTCAGATAGGCTTCCATGGTCAGGACCTGCCCTCTGCAGGAAGGACAGCTGCCAGTGCTTACGCAGCACTCCTGGTGCCGAGCTGGCTACTGTGGGCTGCGAGGCTTCATCCTCCCTTGCCTTGCAGAAGAAGGGGGCTGGCAAATACCTTCCCGCTCTCTGCCAGGAAATGGCTTTTCCCTTCTCTAACCCAGCACTGAGCGCTCCCACAGCTGCACATGCCGTCGAGGCCGCAAAGATGTGACCGCAGACCACGCACTTGAGAAGACGCGGGAGCCATATCGGGGGACAGAAGCGGCAGCCAGGGACAAGATTGCCACCCCGGAGCTGGCTCTGCAGCGCCGAGCACTTGAGAGCAGCCTCGGCACTGGTTTGCTTCAGCTTGCTTCGGCGGCATCCCAGTAGGATGAGGAGCTCTGGCATGGGAGCTATTGGAGTGGGTGGCAGCAGATGGTGAAAACAGAGGGGATAAGGAAATAAATACAAAGAGGCTATCTTGAGGGGAGAAGTCAACCACACCATCACTCTGTTGCTTACACAGTCTCTTTCCCCAAAGCCTAAACAAACATTGCTCGGTTCCAGGCAGGCAAGGAAAAGGCTCTGCCAAATGCGGGAGATGGGCAGCCCAGGCGCACGAGGCACCGTGCAGCCAGGAGAGGCAGCCTGCAGCCTCGTGCCAAGCTCAACACTTCATATCCTGACCAAGTGTTTTCCAATTGGACCTCTAAATCTTTGCAGGAAGTTTGCAAACATTTCACATGATGCTAAAAATCAGATGCTGGCACCGGTGCCTTGCTCTCACTTCCTCCCCTTTCACTCCTCCAGCTCCTGCTCTGCAGGACTGAGCTGGCCACAGGCAGATCTTGCATTGTTTTCCTGCTGGTTTCCCTGTCCAGCCACAGCTCTGGCAGTCCTGGGCTGAGCCCTCCACACAGCCATGTCTGTCCCTCCGGGTGCGGGGCCAGCCCTCCCGCTCCCGGTCCCTCCAGGTAGTGACCCTGCACAGCGCGTCCCAGTTATCACAGCCCTAAGTTTCTGCCCCACTGCACCATGTGGCCAGGTTGTGAACTCAGGGCTCCAAAGGCCTTTTTAAAAAGGCTGACTTATCCCCCTTACACAAAGGGCACCGTAATGAGATTTCAATTTTTATTAATGAGCCACCGCTTACCTTCAAAATAGCTTCCCAGAGGCCAAAACTTGGAGATTTGCCCATCTGTCCATTTATGTTTCCAGTGATAATGAATACCTCTGTGCTACTTTATTGACTTTCTGGATTTTTAAATTCTCAACACATAGTCGCTGAACATCACCATGACCTAGTGGACAGGCACCATTTTCCTCCACTTACAACTGAGGCTAAGAAGTGAGCCTGCACATCCCACTTCCCAGTTACCCACTATTTCGGTCAGGCCCTCTTCCAATCAGCCTGTGCACAGACACAGCAACACAACAACATCTCGCCTTTCCACAAACACCAATGAAGGCTTTCTCCTGGCATCTGAGAAAGAAAATCCAGGGGAAGACATTCCTGAGGGAATATGGGGAGAGTCAGTGGCGGGTCTGCAGGGACTGCACATTGCTATCTTACCAGTAAACCAAAGTACCTTGTAAGTCACCGAATCAACTAGTAGTGCACTCGCTAATTTAAACAGAAGCAAATCGATCCCTTTCACAGTGCTCAGCTAACCTGGGACAACAGGAGCCTATCTTTTCTGACCATTACCCCAAAATATTTCATTATCTGCCAATACTCTCTGTAGTCTGCCATAGGATCATTTCTGCCTCTTGGGTCACCGGAGGCAGTGCGAAAGGTCTCTCTGATGCCTGTCCTAACTGTTGGCAGTGGTTCCTGACAGACTTCCAAGGAATGAGCACCCAGATCCAGGGAGGGAGCAGATCCAGCTAAGAGTGGAGGGAGCCTGGCTATCCGAGCTCCCCCATACACACTCACATGCTGAGAACAACTCACTGTCAGCCCAGAGCCCCCCAGACCTGTAGCCTCTGTCAAAACCTCCCCGCTGGTGCTGCTGCAAGAGTCCTCCACGAGGAGAGAGAAGAGGTGAAAGCAGCCTTTGACTGAACACACGAGGTGTGGTTCAGGTAAAGGCAATTTATTATGCTAAGCACACCATTAAAGGATCTAAAGCATCAAAGCAGAGATGTTCCAAGGAAGCTTTAACTTCCCCAGCAAGGGGGCTCCTGGGAGTCCTCCTGTTAATAGTTTGCATGGGTGGGGGGGTGCCTGCAACTGAGCCGAGAGTGAACATAAATGCCCCTCAGTCCCCTTTCAGCACTCGTTTCAGTTAAATCAATACAGCCATTGGGGAGACTTGAGAAGCAAAGCTATTAGTAGGACCGCAGTTAATTCTGGGGGAAAGAAACAAGCAACAAAAGCAATAAACCTGATGGATGGCCTATGCAGATACAGTAATCGCCTCCCTTCTGGGCCCTGCAGCTTGGCAGGCTGTTGAGGTAAGGATGCTCACTAGAGAAATCCTCCTCACCTAGATTTTGCATGGTGTCTGCTTGGGGCTAAAGCACTCCTAGACAGACGAGAGGCAGTTGGCCACAACACGTGGGTGGGCAAGGGGCTGGGAAGAAGGAAGGGCATCTCAGGGCAATGCCCCAGGGAAAAAATCCACCAAGATAACTGAGCCAAGCCTCACTGAATAACTCGCTCATCTTCCAAGATGCTCATGCTCATCTTCCCCACATATCCCCTTGTTGCTTCTACCTCCTCATCTCATGCTACATGCACATCAAGCACTGGGAGGAAGGAAGGGAAGGTGACTACCGTCGTTTTGCTCGCCTTTCTAAAGCACCTTACACATCTGTGGGTGCTTGCAGAGAAACTTAGCAGCAGTAGCAATAATGGTGGGGATGTTAAAGCCACGTCAGGACACGTCAGTCTGGCTGGCTGGTACCCAGACCCATATGCAGAGAACTCCCCAGGCAGCTGCTAAACAGGAAATAGCTGAATAGACATTAAGATAAAAGCTCTGCAGCAAACCCCACTGATGCACTTCGGTAAGAGCAATGCCAACAGGAGTTGAAGGACCTGCAAACTGGGGATGTTGTCATTTTTGAAATGCTAACCCTTATAGAAGTAGTGGTATTATGAGTAGTATTATACTTGCTCCCTCTACAAGCCTATCAATGTAACATCACAGAAGGCCACAACAGCTGTAGAGACTTGCACCTCTCATCTCACAAAATATCAAAGAATCGCATAGCACGGACTGAAAACTGGGAAACCAGCAACAGACTGGCTGCAGCACTGAAACAGCCTCTCCTCCATGCAGGACCAGGCTTGTTAGAAACACCTCCAAGTCTTGTCGGTGCACACCCTCGTTTCTAAAGCTATGCAGCAGAAGAAAACATCATCCCCTCCACTCAACTGACCTCCGAGCCCAGGCCTCAGGCGGTTGTCGTATCCATCCAACAGCCTGTCCAGGATGCGGGTGAAAATGGTGATGTTATCTTTGCTGTCATCAACAACATCTGAAACATGCTTCTGCGAAAGCCTGGCACACAGGGGAAAGAGGAGAGAAAAAACACAATCAGAACAGAAACCTATTCTTTATACGCTCTGAGCACTTAACCACAAAATAAAAGGACGGTTGTTCACACCACGGCCCACCACTGCGGCGCAGCCTTGGACCGCAGAATGCAGCACACCCGTGGCAGGGTGATGGGTGTGCGAAATGCACCGCAGGGCACCCCAAATCTACTCCCGTCCCTGCCTCGGCCACCACCGAGGAGGCAGAAGGGTCCCGCAGCTCCCTTCCCCGAGCTTCCATGCTAACCGCGAGCGGCACCACAGGGCACGGTCTCAGAGCCCTGTTTTTAAAGACACCTTTCCCCTGCCCCAGCATCCCTCAGCTAGCACCCAAAGAGAGGGAATTTTAGGAGCCAGAGGCTTTGTGAACCTCAGAGCTACTCCAGTGCCAGCTTCTCCATATAGGAGACACAGCATAAATGATACCAGTCATTTACTGGGCCAGTTATTTACCGTATCAAGTAATTCTCAAGTACTCTGCTCCTGGGAGGAAGGGGGGCAGGCAGAAAAATAGGAAATAAGAAAAGCAGGCTGGGAGCTTGAATCCATCATTAAAACTCCCTGTGAACCATTTCTGCAGTTTGGTGAACCTTCCCTGTTTATAAAATCAAATGAGTTTGGTCATGTTCCTATCTCTGTTCAATGCAAGAAGCCTAGAAGCCTCCAAATAAGATGATTTCCTCAGAGTATTTTCTGCCCCAGGTGGAACAAAATAAGTAGCAAATTTCTCAAACAAAACTCATCTCACCAAACAAAATCTCCAATGCAATTTTGCAAGCCCAAGAGGTTCAAATAACACATTTGCATTTTGCGTCTCTCTTTCAATCAACAAGACAGGAGCCTACAAATCCTGTGGAAATCAGTTGTCTCTAAGAGAAGAGGCTAGGAGAATTTCGACAACCCAGAGCCCCCGCGCTGCGCAGTTATAAAGCCTCTTGGAAAGTCCTGTGGCTCCAAGCACAGCTTTCCCCAGCAGAAATAGCTGTTAGGATCAAATCAAATGGAAAGGGCAGCAGATTAAGTAATAGAGAAAATCAGAAGGAAAAATCTAGAGACACTGCAGCAAAGATAGAAAAGGGAAAAAAGAGACACCAACAAAGGCAAAAAAGATGAAGCAGTGCAGACAGGCAGCACGACGGCTGCAGAAGCCGAGTCAGGTAGGATGAAAGGCTGCTGGGGCTGATGGCTTGCCAGCAGTAGTTCAGGGACCTCCTTGGGTCGGGGGCAGCAGGGCTGCCAGACCCATGCTGCGCTGCTACCAGAGAAATAAGTGACAGGGGAGCATCACCTTGATTAACGCGAACAAACACAGCAAAAGCCATAGAGACACTGGTGCCGGTAGTAGAGGTGGCATAAGGCACGAGGGCGATGGCCAACCAGGGCCCCTACAATGTTTTCAAGCAGGGTCCCCCTCCCTGCAGCTGGTCAGGTAGAGACCCCAGAGCTGTGCTAAATCATTGCTTCCCAACTTTTGCATCCCTTCCACCCCTGCAGCCCCAAACCTTTCTTGCCCCCATCGATCTGCATGCAGATGTACATGCGCAAGCACTGTGCTGTATTAGCACTGCTCCGCGCAAAGGACGGTTTCCCCTCCGTGGTGCGGAGAGCACGATGAACGACAACATGATGAAACCCGGGCATCGACTCTGCTCACTCCCTCACCACGTGCCTGCCCGGGAGGCGCTGGCAGCCCCAGGAGCGCTGTGCTCCCAGCGCGGGGCTGCGCTCCAGCCTGTCATCTCCCCGAGCATGCTGGACGAGTCACTGGTTTGAGCTAATGACTTCTTGCCCAGCGAAATCCTCACTGCCACAGCTCAGGGTGACTGGATGGGCTCGCAAGGGTTTCCAGAAAGTGAAGGTCTCTCCGAACCTCCAAGTTGCCACAAATCACAGCCGTGGGAGCTGTGAACCAAAAATTTCACAGCAAACGTTCCCTCAAGAGATGTTGATCTGATTTTATACATATACATACATATATATAAATACATATAAACCCTTTGTTGTGTCATATTTTGCAGTTTCTGAGCAGGAAAAATCAGAAACCAGGAAGAAATTGGGGGTGGGGAGGAAGGAAGGGGGAATATCAGTTAAGCAGGTCAACACTTAATCCCACAGTATCACCTCTAGTTAGACTAGTTACCCTTGACATTACAGGTCTATTTGTAAATACTCTGTGAAGGGTTAGTAGGGTGAGAAGTAGCAGAGGTGGCTCAGAATTTTCTATCAATGTTTTACCAACAGAAAAGCCATCATCTAAAAGAAAAAAAATATATATTTTATATCAGAAAAAATTGGGAGAGGGGAAGGCTGCGAGTATTTTTAGAGTCAGACTGAATCAATACTGTTCAGTGTGCTGAACCTAATTAAAATATTTCATCTGGGGCAAGTTTGACATTAATTTGTGTCTGCAACAGTGACCACACACTCGAGGAGATTGCGTTTCAAATGCTTAAGGCCCGTTTCTCCACGGGCCAGATCCCACTTCTCACAAGACTTCTTGGCCTCCAATTTTTAGCCAGGCAATACCCACTACCACAGGAGAAGCGGTCAGGCCAGGAAGCTCAGCCGACAAAAGCTGAATGGGGGCATGAGGTGCTCAAACTACAGCTCCCTTAAGGCACAGTGGAGAAAACACCAGCCTCTGGCTCTGAGGCAATATGTCAGCTCTGAAACATCAAAACACTTCGATATTATGAGCTGCATCACAGCTTTTGAGAGTTCCCATTCAAAACAGAACAGTGATTCTCGCTTTTCCTCTGGCCTTGAACATAAAACAACCTTAAAATATCTGAACTATCTGCGGAGAAGTAGAATTTTGAGGAATCCCAACAAACACCAACTGGAACTGGTGAAGTTTGCACTGTAGCAGCTTTCAACAACATCTGTACCAGTGTCTGCTGATGGGTACGCAACAATCTACAACTTATGAATAGCTAGCTTGCTCATGAAAACTCACTTGTTAATGTTTTATAACATTATAACATATATATAACATATATAATGTTTTATTTCTTTAGAAATGTTCTGTAATATAAAGAGCAAGAGGACACATTTTGTGGGAAATGAGTTTTAAAATTGCAAAGCTGTTTTACTTAGCTTCCCATTTGAGATTTCAACTTCAGCGTAAGCACCACGGGATTCGCTCAGAAGGGACCGGGGTAAAGCAGCACGTGCAGGGAGAAGGATCGGCAACGACAGCAAAGAGCCAGCAGCATCTCCACCTGCACTGATTCACAACATTTCCTTGGTCCAGCTGAAGCCTGGAAGGGCTCACCTCACCTTAACATAAAGCTAAAGCTGACCTTTAGCGAGGGTGAGAACGGGTCTCATTTATCCCTGGCAAAGCCTCAGCAAAGGAGTCAAAGGAACTGCCAAGTTGTGTGGCTCATGGTTTTAAAATAATTAAAAGCCTTCAGGCTTTTAACTTCCGTTAAGAAAGAGGTTTACAGTGAATTTAATTAGGAGAGGCTCAGGTAGAAGTCATTACCCCTCCATCTGCCCCCTGCGCACACGCTCTTCGGGGAGCCGGCTCCCACAGCGGCGCGTTAACCTCTGAGCGAGGGTCTCCTCGTATTCAATTAAGGAAACGAACGCGAGAGCCGACAGGAGCTTTCCCTGCGCGACGAGATGGGAGCCGGTGGAGGGACGAGCCCGCGGGGCTGCAGCGGGGCGG